GACGTTTTGTCCGTCAGGACTACATTGGACTAAATACCTACCAAACGTAACAAATTTATTCCGATCATGTTCTGAAGGACGAAACGCGTCACAAGGAAACTTTTTACATTCTGTCATACAATTTCCCCAATATATATATATATATATATATATATATATATATATATATATATATATATATATATATATATATATATATATATATATATATATATATATATATATATATATATATATATATGTATATATGTATGTATATGTATATGTATATGTATATATATGATGTAAATAGATATATTTCTGATAGTATAGAGATTAATATTTATTTTTTTAATTTTAAGTTATGTAAAATTTTCATGGATTTAAAAAAGATATGACGTCAAAAGAGAAACAAGATGTTAGAGAATTACGTTAGACCAGTTGCCATCCAAGGCTATAGAAACTGGTCTGTCCTGTTATTTACCCATAGCTGGAGATGGGGGGTGAAGAAAAAAAATGATTCATACCTTTCCCAAGAGTATTAGCACGTAATTGAATGTAATGGATTCAACTGGAATTCGAACTCGGTTCTCCGATTCCTCAATCCGATTACTCCATTGTAAAATAGGCAATACGAGAAGAAGAAAAAATACCACTTTTATGTTACAAAAAGTTATTTTAAAAATCAAGAAACTAATAAACCCAGAAAAATGGATTGACAATTTGAAGAAATTGGTGTTGCAAATTTAACAGATTGAAACGATTCATGTTAAAGAGATGAAGACAACTAAATTACCACCTTGAATTAAACTTCAGAAAGTGAAACAATTAAGTTGGGAAATGTAAGTCCCTATTTTCGTATGATGGACTCTCCCGTCTTGTAAAAATTATAGTTAGACGGGAGAGACCATCATATACTAAATTGGGAGTTACTTTACAATTACCCTGTAGATGAAAACTGATTTCTAAACAGTATTTTTAGTAATGAATTTAGAACAACATTGAACAGATTTGATGGTTGGATGGGAGCTTGTGTCCTTCACTCAGCTCACATCATTTCGAAGAGAGATAAAGGAGATGAAATAATCTTTTAATCTTGTCTTGTAGGCACTAAATTAAAGATAAGATAAGATGAAGGTTCAAAATAAATGTAGAGAATTATTGCAAGTTCTTTGACACGATGCTTTTGAGTGCTGCAAATCACAACCAAGTAATTGTAAGATAAATATTATATTTATGCCTAACAATGTTCCTTCACTTTCAGCAAAGTTAATAGTTGCTCATTAAATTAATATGGTATGAAAAAATTCAAAGGCACTAAATTAATAGATTGACTTCTAGCTTTTCTACATATTAATGTAATAAAAAATCGTATGGTTAAATATTAAAAGAGATCAATAGAATGGAAAACACTGCTGAATGTTAAGCTATTTCAGAACGAATTAAAACTGTTATGTTGAAATGCAGTCTCGTCTCGGGAAACAGCTAACCGACCAGGTTTTCGGGGAATTTTTGGCCGAGCCTACGGGCTCGGATGCATCACATTAAATTCGGCCTTGTGCCACATCTGATCACGTGAGGCGGTTGGTGGATATCCTGCAGTTAGAGATTTGTCTTCTAGCAGTTGAATACTTCTTCAACGCGCCGCTAGCGAATCTTATATGTGTTGTTCTTGTCCTAAGTATTATCGTTCATTACCAACCTTCGTGTGATTATTCGATTCAGTAACCCTCCTTCGGTTACAACAGTTATTAATGGCGAAAAATATTTTTAGGTTGTAAGAATTTGGAGGGGAGATGATAATGATTTAGTCATATAAGTCTTACTAATTAACCTATAGCTGGGGGATCATTTACTCAAATACGCGTATCAACTAAAAATAACATTAGAAATAATAATAATAATATAAGATTATTACAAATATAAAATTTGTCACTTAGCTGATTGATGTTATATTCAGTACCCCGACTCCAGAGTTTCGTAATCGTACCTTTTTTTGTAATCGTTCTGTCTACTCGTCAAGAGATATCAGCCATTAGAGAGAGAGAGGGGGAGGGAGAGAGTGGGTGAGACAATGTTTGCAATAACATTTACACGCCATTTGCATGCTTACGTTGATATCGTGTTGAAACACTCGTACGAAGTTAAGCAACGTCAAGCCTGCTCAGTACCTAGATGGGTGAGAGAGAGAGAGAGAGAGAGAGAGAGAGAGAGAGAGAGAGATGCAAGTGGCATAACTTTTATTGGCGTGGGAAAATATAATCACCTGGCCGCGATGTATATGTATGAGGAAGTGATAAAAAAATCTCAGAAGCATTTTCCTAAAAATCACTAAGCATCAGAATTTATGTTAGAAGAATCTCTGTGCCCCATCGTTCAGAAGCCACCCGTACATATTTGCACGTTCCGAGATCTTACACAAGCGTCAATAATAGCAGATATTCAAAAAACATCTTTTGGTCGACATACAAGTATTTCGTCTTCAAGTTTTTGATTTTATAAGGAAAAAAACACATGCCTG